TGATACTTGTAAAAAGTCTATGCAATTATCATATACGAAGCTTCATTAGAGGCCCGGGTCGCCTGCCTCCTCTTAGTCCGCCTCTGGCAATAAGGTTAAAAACGGGGTAAACATGTATAAACCCACTTACCGGCACGTGACTCCTACCTGACAAATTTTTAGGACAATCACCGGTGATTTTTATTGTTCTTTTTAACGAAAATTGAACCAGTTTTAATTGACTCTACGCCATACCTTTTTTTTTTTTAAGTTTACATTATTCACAACGTTTTACAAGTAAAAACAAAACTGAATACATTAGAGTTTTAATGATATACTTGTATAACATTTTACACCTTTTTTACGGATCCATGATCCATAAAATGACATTGCCATCGTGCCCTACAATCTGTGCCCCTCTTCTTGCCGACTTGTTCCTTTTATTCATATGAGGCTGACTTCATACAGGAACTTCTTAGGAAGAAAGAAAAGAAGTTAGCAGTATCCTTTAACTTAACTTTCCGCTATATAGATGATGTTCTCTCACTAAATAATACAAAATTTGGTAACTATGTTGAACGCATCTATCCCATCGAACTTGAGATAAAGGATCCAACAGATACAGTTAAGTCTGCCTCATATCTTGACTTACATCTAGAAATTAACAATGAGGGTCGGTTGAAAATAAAACTTTACGACAAAAGAGATGAATTCAGCTTCCCAATTGTGAACTTTCCATTTCTATGTAGCAACATTCCAGCAGCGCCTACATACGGAGTATATATCTCCCAGTTGATACGATATTCCCGGGCATGTATTTCTTATCATGATTTCCTTGATAGAGGATTGCTGTTCACAAGGAAGCTATTAAACCAGAGTTCCAAGTGGTATAGTAGGATCCTCCCTTCGTAAGTTTTACTGACGCTATCACGAGTTGGTTGACCGTTATGGAATATCCGTTTCACAGATGATCGGATATGTTCCTAATGTCGTAACTACAATCCCGTCCCGCTTTTCTCGAATGTGACCTACCGAATTAGACTTATTACCTGGTTTGTACTTACATGAGCAACACGACGAGTGCCACATGTGGAGCAGGATCTGCTTACCTTTCCAGAGCGCCTGAGCTCACCCCCAGTTTTTGATGGGGTTCGTGTTGCTCAGTCTTTAGTTTTCTATGTTGTGTTTTGTGTGCTATTGTTTGTCTTTTTGTCTTTTCTTTTGTAGCAATGGCGTTGTCAGTTTATTTTCGACTTGTGAGTTTGAATGTCCCTCTGGTATCTTTCGCCTCTCTTCTACACATGCTATTAGCGGAAGAATATTTTGAAATAAGTTCAAAGAATATTCAAATTCAAATTTGTGATTGCCTATATATAGGATAAAAACTTTTGTCCTGCATTTTTTTTAGTTATAATCTCTGTCCGGCCTTTTTATTTTTCACTCTATTCGGTCCTGCCTTTTTTTTTTATTAGTTTATCCTGACTTTTTTTACATAAATTGTCATCCTGCCTTTTTTTTTGGCAAAATTGCTCATCCTGACTTTTTTTTACTCAAAACTGCTATCCTGCCTTTTTTTCAAATTTCATCCTAGCCCCCCCCCATAAAAATCAAATGGTAGCTTCCATACAAAGAAAGACAAAAAAATACTTCAAATTAGCGAGAGATCGGAGATAGTTGTGGGTGGTTAATAACATGATATCAGCTGTTGTACTGTCTGATATTTTTTTTTATCCTGCAATCAGCTAACTATTGTACAAATAACAGGTACACAAATAAATTTTTGCTTTATTTGTACTTGTACAAATAAAGTCGTCTGTTACCCCCGCTTCCATGTTGAGCAAGTGGTAATGTGAATACTTCTTTTTGCGTACCAGTTCAGTTTGGGGTCCTCTTCGCGGACTGCGTTTAAACAATGTCGATTTCTTTAAAAATTAGAGACAATGATTAATATTTTAACAACTAAAGTTTCAAGTGTTGGCTGTGAATTTCAGGATAAAAAAACAATTTGTGTACATTGTCGGAAAATATAAAATTTATTTGTACTCGCTACGAAACATGCAGGAGAAAAGCTCGACGAGCCTCGCTTTTCGTCCTGTTTCTAAAGCTCATACAAATAAATTTTATATTTTCCGACAATGTACATATATTGTATATGGAAATTCAGGTTATCCTTTTTATGCATGATTTTTATACACTTTGAATTCTTGTAAGTACAAAAATAAGGAGATGATGTATGATTGTCAATGAGACAACTATCCACCAAAGTTCAAATCAAGTGGATGTTAGGAATTATAGGCAACTGTAAAGCTATAAACAATGAGAAAAACCCATACTGTATAGTCGACTATAAAAGGCCACGACATGAAAAATATAAAACAATTCAATTTAGAAAACTAACGGCCTAATTTATAACAAAACAATGAACGAAAAACAGAATGGTGTGTGTGTGTGTGTGTGTGTGTGTGTGTTTTTTTAAAGAGGTGGAAGATACCAATGAGAGGGGGAAAAGTGTAGGGGAATTGGTTTTGCAGTCCCCTTTTCTGTGAACCTGCCGACTCCATGCCTCGCAAGTAGGGGATATCGATTACAGGGAAGTCTGAATTAAGTTCTTCAATAATTCATTTTATGTTAAGTTGCATTTCATTGAAGTGAAATGTGATAGTTACATAAGCACCGACGTATACAACTGAATCATTTTTGGGTAAATAACACACACACACACACAAACAAACAAACAACAAAACCAACAACAAAAACCAAAGAAAAAACGAATTAAAAAAATCATTATCTAAACCATTTCCATGACAATAACCGTTCACTTGCAGTTTTAAAATCATACATAAAAAAGTTCATTTATAGAATTATTCAAGAATTTTTCCATCTGAATTATTCGTTTGATCGCCCCAAAAACATCGATGTGTATTTACAAACATATATCATATATATATATATATATATGTCTATGATGTATGTAATGTGACTAATATGTTTTTTGTCAGTGATCACATTCCACGGTCACGTGTGGCCTTAATTGCGATCATTTGATTTTCTGGAGGGAGGATTTCGAAAATAAATAGCTTAGCCTGGTAAGACCTGAAAATAAATAAAATATTGCCCTAAATGTTGGATATAACTGTGCACAAAAGTGAAATAAAATAAGCATGCATTGCAACAGATGAAAATGAAAACTTCATCCGTAAAAACCTCTCCATTCCCCCCGAATAGCAAATGATCGTCCCCTAATTTTCTGTGCTGGAAAAAATATGTCAAAATTTAGCGAGTCTGTTGAAAATGGACGAATAGTTATAGTGAACGACTGATTATGATCGATTGACTCACGAAATTTTGTTAAAATTATTTATATATATATACGAATCAATGTGGGTTTTTTCATATTTTATTTTTAATGTGTATCTTAATGTGTCCAAAAGATGGTTGTACAAATTACAATTTTTACAAATTTGACTAAAATTCACTTATAATTTGTACAAAGGATATATGATAATTTAGAATGATAGAAATGATGGCCTTTTATGTATTTTTGACAGTAAAATATTTTGATTGCTTTTGGAAAACAATTTTGTATCTAACTCTTCTTGAACACTTTTCAACTGTTCATTCTTTGGGGTCAGTTGTTTTAATAATTTGCCAAAGATAACTTTCCCTAGTGTTTGTGATCAAGCCTATACTGTAGACAATAAGCTGTTAGAATTCTTACTGCTGTTCCAATGCGGTACCCAAAAACTCTAGATTTAACAATAACATTATAATGATGTTATCCTCCACAGCAAGTTCTGATAATTTGGGATTCGTTTTCTTGGTAAGATATTCGGCTTAGATCCGTTGGATCTACAAATCAAATAGAAGCTGATAAAGAGACATATTTATTTCCAGGAACGGTTCATGGGCTTAAACTTTCGCTACATGTAGCAGTTAAAAAGCTTTCAAAAACTGGTGGTCAGGGATTTCTTTCACTTCCTGATGCCATGATTCATCCACATGCTCAAACATATGATACAATGTACAGACCTATTTTTGTATTTTGCTAATAATGATTAATGTGGGGTCATTAAATAAAAATTCTGTTGTGTGTATCAATGCTTATTTCAACCAATTCCATATCAGAAATTAGTGTACAAGTTAGAGGTGAATCTAATTTTGTACAATTCGTAATTTGTTATTTCACTCCTCTGACGTCATACAACAATAGGCGTTGTCAAGACGTTGATAACGCCGGATCAAAACAAATTGTGAATGCGTAGAAAAAGATATAGTTCCTTACATTTTCTACTTTAATTTCATAAAAAAAGCCATTTGCCAATGTAATAAAAAGAATAACTAATCAAAGAATTCAAATATCGAAAAATATTCAACTCGTGACCGAACAACACTGATAATTAACTCATGCGCTACGCGCATTCGTGAATTAATGTGTTGTTCGGTCACTCGTTGAATATTTTTCTCTATTTGAATTCTTCGATTAGTTATTCTATAATTAATATATGTAGATATATAAAAAAATCTGTTCTATTCTATAATACCAGAGACGTTATGGGCGCTGTATTTTAGAAAAAAAAAAAAAAATTTTTGATACGTATAAATATATATATATATATATTTTTTTTTTTTGTTCTAATCTATAATATCAGAGATGTATTTATGGGCACTGTAATTTGGAAAAAAATGAATATGTTTAATATATATAAATATTGTATTCCATTCTATTCTAAATTACCAGAGGCGTCGCATATAATATGTAAGGATCTGATAAAATCATAAACAGATAATTATTTTATTGATTTACACATAAGATTTTTGTAACTAAATCAGTGTTATCGGAGTGACTGATTAGTCACACTCGCATTATTTACTTTTTACTGTTTAACATTGCGCAATGATTAATCATGTTATCGATCCTTCCTCATGAGCCCCTTGTTAAAAATGATTTTTTTGTAAAACTCCGTTTCATTGGCTGATCAGTTGCAATATTATCCAGTTAGAAATTGTTTATTATTCAAGCACCTGAATATCATGGAGGACGAATCGGAAATGTAAGAATTAATGGAAAAGTTTCAAAACATAGAAAAACAGATTAACATTGTTGTATTTTAACTATTATCATTAGAAAAATAAAAATGTGTGTTTACTTCCCCCATTCGATTGACTATTTCAGCCCTGTTTGGTCGTCTCCCCGTCAGCGATGCCACTGTCAGCTGTACAGTCACAGGGCTGCTGATAATCACTTTTTGGATTTCTTGTCTGCTGCAAGTTCTTTATGTTTATAGCTAATAAATTTATAATGAAAGAAACGATCGGAAATAAAAATGTACATTGAAAGTAGAGCTTAATGATAAGACCAACTGGTTGAAGGAGATCATTCCCTTATCTGAGGGTAGGAAATTATTATGCCTTTACTGTCAGTCATCCAACGGTCATTTTCGGCTACCTTTAATGTCAAATTGGTTCAAATTTTATTGTGATTTGTCAAAATATCCTTACCGTGATTTATCAAAGGTCTCAAATTATTATCCATTACTGTTATTTTTGGAAAGAATTTAACGTGATTCGTCAAAATCAGTCATTTTTTTTTATCGTCACCAAGAAAATGTACATTCTATCGTCATGCACCAAAAATTACCATTAACGTCATTTGGCAAGATTTTTTACTGTTATTCGTCAAGAAGGTATCCCAATTACGACCATCTTATAGTCTGCGACGTTAAGCGGTAGCCTGAAGGCCCCTGTCTTGTAAATATCTCACCGTACTTGTGCAGAAGCACTGGTGATTGCCGGATCACCGGTTTATTGAACATCTGATATTGTTGGCGAAATTGTAACCAGTATTTTATTGAATCTATGAGAATAAGTTACAAATTTGTCGCCGACCTTGTTTTCATCCATTTACTGGTATCCCTATCAGTGTTCCAGCTAGGCCGTTTTCACAGGGCGGTCCGCCCGCCCTTTCCCTAGTGCTGCCCTGTGCCCTTTTTGCAGTTTCCAGGGCGCCCTGCCTTTTTGAAGATCGATTGTATTTTATTTTGTTATGATCCGTCATTACGAAATTTTACCTGGCGACAAGTTAATGACTTTGTTTACAACCCCAAGCTAATCAACGGTTATAACAGGTGTCATAATCTGTTGTTACAGGTAATCCATTTATCGGATGGGTCAATAATGATCAACATTAATTCATTCAAATAGAATCTGTCAGTCGGCATGAAGAAAATGTTTATACGACAACACAATTTGCGATGTTTACTGTAGTTTCATGGAGAAAACGCAATTGACAGAAAATCGAAAACCATAATGTTGTTATAAACATTGTTTTACTTGTTTTCCGTGAAAAAAATAGCAAATTCACACGTATTTGTCTTTGCCTGCCCTCGCTTTTGATACGAAAATAACAAAACCAGCCGCCATTGTTGATCGTATTCACTTCTTCCATGTATTGTGTATAATCCTCCAAAGAAGGAGCACACCCGAATAAAGAAAGATAACTCATTTTATTTTTCCCTTGAATTTAGTTAACTACTTAAGATATGTCTACATACATTTGTACTTCTTGCTTTATAATTTACATGTTTTATAAAATTAGGTCTTTTGAATTATGGGAAAAGTTTAAGAGGGAGTTTGTAGCAGTGTGGGTAGGGTGCCTTGGTCATCTTTTCTGTATTCTTTATTTTTAATACAAATTTTCACTGTTCACTACATGTATATCCTAACATTGTGCATTTACTGAGCGTAGCTGCTGTATTACCATTAAGCACAGCAGAGATAGAAAGGGTCTTTCCCAGGTATAACTTGTATGGCTATAGAAACAGAATGAAGCAGGAAATCCTGCAAAACATACTACATATAAAGCTAAACTATGACAAGCAATGCCTTGAGAACTTGTGTGACGAGGTGGTTGACAAGTTTTTTCAGCATAAAAAGTAGACAGATAGAGTTTTATCTGGGCTAATCATGTTGTAATTGTATATATATATAATCAAGTGATTTAATGAATAAAGACAATGTTTGATTAATATCTTTATTAAAACATGCCCTTTTCATATAATAATATCACGCGTTTAATGCCCTTTTTTCAGAATTGGCACCCTGCCCTTTTGAAATCCTAGCTGGAACACTGCCTATTTTATTATATATGGGTTTTGTTACTTCTAATCAAATTGAACCAGTCGTCAACGCGATATACCTTATCACCAACGAAATCGAGAACGAGGCTTGACCATGTGCTTGCAATAAACACTATCTATAAATACCACTCATTGTAAACAAACAATCAAGGATTCGATCTCATTCGATGGTGAAATGGAAACAGGGGCTATCCCAGGTAAAACATTGAAAAGTAGAAAAGGCCTACATGAATACCTGTAGAAGTTTCGAGTTGATAAAAGCTATGCAGAAAAACAATTTAGGCATTTTTAAACAACATTTACCAAAGTGGCAATGAAGGAGGGTGTGGAAGGGGGTTTTACAGAATAGAGAATATAATCATGATAATGGGCAAAAAGCATAAAGAATATTTTTTAGAGAAAAACGGACCAAAAAAATAAAGAATACAGAACAATGAGGTGTTAATATATAAAAAATAGAGAAAATGGCATAAAAAAAATAAAGAATACAGAAATCAAGGACCCCATCCAGACCCAAATGAAGTGCCAGAGAATTAACTTTTAATATTTAAGACTAAAAAAGATATGAAAGAATATGAGGAATAAAGAGGTTGGGGACATCCACCAATTAGGGAATTTTTCCCCAAAAAAGTAACAATCCCTCAGTTGATTAATAGTTTACTAGTGCTAAAAATGTGGGTTTTTTAGCTGAGTCTTTTTACTTGAAATGGGACAAGTTTAATATTTTATTAGAGGAAAAGAGAATTTTTCATCAACTGGAGAAAAAACAACATTTTTTGATAAGGTCTATTCACTTCCAGATACAAAAATTTAACCTCAGAATGCAGGATTTTTCCTCTCTAATTTTCCAAAATTTGTCCGGTGACATTAATTTTGGTCTCGTACACATCACTTCGAGGTAGTTTTTTTTTATTCCACTAGCCGTATGGGCAAGTGCTTCAAAAAGTTTAAAGCACAGACTGCTCTTATCTAAACTGCCGAACTGTAGGTCTTGGGTCCTTATATTTTTTTTTTACATTATGAGGACCTACATTTGTAAGAACAGCTAACTCCATCCCTCAATTGTCTTTGAAAGAAAATATCACAGTATAAATTTTGTGGGTCAGACATGTCCAAAGTGGTTTCCTTGATTTTCATTGTACATGTACATTGTACCTTCATCATCCACCCTCACATCAAAGCATTTGAAAGTCAAGGATGTATAAAATTGAGAATGGAAATGGGGAATGTGTCAAAGAGACAACAACCCGACCACAGAACAGACAACAGCAGAAGGCCACCAACAGGTCTTCAATGCAGCGAGAAATTCCCGCACCCGGAGGCGTCCTTCAGCTGTCCCCTAAACAAATATACATGTACATGTATATACTAGTTCAGTGATAATGAACGCCATACTAAACTCCAAATTGTACACAAGAAACTAAAATTAAAAATAATACAAGACTAACAAAGGCTAGAGGCTCCTGACTTGGGACAGGCGCAAAAATGCGGCGGGGTTAAACATGTTTATGAGATCTCAACCCTCCCCCTATACCTCTAGCCAATGTAGAAAAGTAAACGCATAACATTAAAATTCAGTTCAAGAGAAGTCCGAGTCTGATGTCAGAAGATGTAACCAAAGAAAATAAACAAAATGACAATAATACATAAATAACAACAGACTACTAGCAGTTAACTGACATGCCAGCTCCAGACTTCAATTAAACTGATTGAAAGATTATGTCTTCATCATATGAATATCAGGCACAATCCTTCCCGTTAGGGGTTTAGTATCATACCATCATAACATATATGAGAAGAACATAACCCGTGTCATGCCAACAACTGGTTTTTATACGACCGCAAAAAAATTTTGTGGTCGTATATTGGTATGACGTTGTCGTCGTCGTCGTCGTCGTCGTCGTCGTCGTCGTCCGGCGTCGTCGTCCGAATACATATTGGTTTTCGCACTCTAACTTTAGTTTAAGTGAATGGATCTTTTTGAAATTTGACCACAAGGTTAAATACCACAAAAGGAAGGTTGGGATTGATTTTGGGGGTTATGGTACCAACAGTTAAGGAATTAGGGGCCAAAAAGGGGCCAAAAATGAGCATTTTCTAGTTTCCAGACAATAACTGTGGAACGGTGTATGGATCTCTCTGAAATTATACTACAAGTTTCCATACCACAAAGGGATGGTTAGGATTTGCTTTGGTGGGTTATGGCTCAAACCGTTTAGGAATTAGGGGCAAAAAAGGGGGAAAAACAAGGTTGTCCTGGTTAATGGACAAATACTTTAGTACAAAACATAATTTAAAGCAGTGTAAGGGAGATAAATCAAATACATCATTGAAATTATCTCCCTTACACTGCTTTTAAATTATGTATAAAGTAATGGTTAATGAACAATAAAGATAATCTAAAACAGTGTAAGGGAGGTAATCCAAATACAACGTTTTGGTTACTTCCCTTACTCTGCTTTTAAATTATGTTTAAAGAAATGCATATTTATAAAGGAAGACCAGTAAAAATATCTGCAAATGTTTTCATCTTTTTTTTTTACAAAAAAATCCTTATGAAAGATTTGACACTATATTTTTATTAATTCTATTATAAAATAGATTAAGTTAGCACTATGGTAAATTAAAATGGGTAATTATGGTTGCCAACTCCATTGGAAATTTGAATTGAGATTATGACCATATCTTGAGGGAAAGAATTTTTTGGGGGGAAAAAGGGGGGGGGGATAAAAAGAAATTGTGGGGGGCCAATTTTTTCTCATTTCAGATTTCAGAAATTAAAAAGAATTATTCTTCAAATATTATTTTTTTTTCAAATTTCAAATATTGAAAAATTTCAAGAAGTAATCTTTAATTGCACAGTTTGGCGCATTAGATTTGTAAAATCTTTGATCACATTTATTTATTTGGTATGCCGAATCTAACAGTGTATTTAGATTTTTAATATTGGGTCCAGTTTTCAAATTGGTCTACATTAATGTCCAAAGGGTCCGAAATTAAACTTTGTTTGATTTTAGCAAAAATTGAATATATGAGGTTCTTTGATATGCTGAATCTAAACATGTATTTAGATTTTTGATTTTTGGCCCAGTTTTCAAGTTGGTCCAAATTGGGGTCCAAAATTAAACTTTGTTTGATTTCAACAAAAATTGAATATATGGGGTTCTTTGATATGCTGAATCTAACCATGTATTTAGATTTTTTATTTGTGGACCCCGTTATCTAATTGGTTCATATATTGAGGTCTAAAGGGTCCAAAATTAAACTTTGTTTGATTTCATCAAAAATTGAATTATTGGGGTTCTTTGATATTCCAAATCTAACCGTGTATTTAGGTTCTTAATTTTGGGTCCTGTTTTTTAAATTGGTCTACATTGAGGTCCAAAGGGTCCAAAATTAAACTTAGTTTGATTTTAACAAAAATTGAATTCTTGGGGTTCTTTGATTTGCTGAATCTAAACATGTGTTTAGATTTTTGATTATGGGCCCAGTTTTCAAGTTGGTCCAAGATAGGGTCCAGTATTTAAACTTTGTTTGATTTCAACAAAAATTGAATAAATGGGGTTCTTTGATATGCTGAATCTAAACATGTATTTAGATTTTTGATTATGGGCCCAGTTTTCAAGTTGGTCCAAATTGGGGTCCAAAATTAAACTTTGTATGATTTCAACAAAAATTGAATATATGATGTTCTTTGATATGCTGAATCTAACCATGTATTTAGATTTTTTATTTGTAGGCCCCGCTATCAAATTGGTTCATATTGAGGTCAAAAGGGTCCAAAATTAAACTTTGTTTGATTTCATCGAAAATTGAATTATTGGGGTTCTTTGATATGCCAAATCTAACCGTGTTTTTAGATTTTTATTTGGGTCCCGTTTTTTGAATTGGTCTTCATTGAGGTCCAAAGGGTCCAAAATTAAACTTAGTTTGATTTTAACAAAAATTGAATTCTTGGGGTTCTTTGATATGCTGAATCTAAACATGTATTTAGATTTTTGATTTTGGGCCCAGTTTTCAAGTTGGTCCAAGTTGGGGTCCAAAATTAAACTTTTTTTGATTTCAACAAAAATTGAATATATGGGGTTCTTTGATATGCTGAATCTAACCATGAATTTAGAATTTTTATTTGTGGGCCCCGCTATCAAATTGGTTCATATTGAGGTCAAAAGGGTCCAAAATTAAACTTTGTTTGATTTCATCAAAAATTGAATTATTGGGGTTCTTTGATATTCCAAATCTAACCGTGTATTTAGATTTTTAATTTTAAGTCCCGTTTTTTAAATTGGTCTACATTAAGGTCCAAAGGGTCCAAAATTAAACTTAGTTTGATTTTAGCAAAAATTGAATTCTTGGGGTTCTTTGATATGCTGAATCTAAACATGTGTTTAGATTTTTGATTATGGGCCCAGTTTTCAAGTTTGTCCAAGTTGGGGTCCAAAATTAAACTTTGTTTGATTTTAACAAAAATTGAATATATGGTGTTCTTTGATATGCTGAATCTAACCATGTATTTTGATTTTGAACATTGGACCATAATAGGTAAATTAAAAAAATTCAAGTTCTTAGACCACATTCTTTCTGTGTCAGAAACCTATGCTGTGTCAAATATTTAATAACAATCCAAATTCAGAGCTGTATCAAGCTTGAATGTTGTGTCCATACTTGCCCCAACTGTTCAGGGTTCGACCTCTGCGGTCGTATCAAGCTGCGCCCCAGCGAAGCATTTTATTAAATAAATGTGTTTAGTGCCGATGCAAAGACCCTATAAGTGAATCAATATTAACGCCAAAATATGCAATCTTTAATGACCTGACAACAGTATCGTAACTATATCCCTTCTTAATAAGTCTATTTAAAGGTTTTGTTAGTTTCAGAGGTGCTTAAAAAAGGTGAGTAGCTCTGACTAAAGTATAGGTGAATTTATTTTAGGTCACTCTTGTAAAGGGGGAAGAACATTTCATTTGTACGATAGGGAGGGGGATTTTGAAAATGAAACTGCCCTGATAAGAGCTGAAAATAAATAGCTTTGCCCCCAAAAATAAATATTCTGCAACACAAAATTCAGGAAGTTATTGTGTTAGAAAGTGAAAATTGAAAATGAATTTTCGCGCACAAACATTTGTAGCTCAACAGATCAAAATGAAGTCAATCCCAAAAAATCAGCTCCCACTAGAATGTCATAAAGTCATTCCGTTAGGGATTTAGAACCTTAGTTTCTTATTAACTTCCTTATTTATCAGCAGAGAATAAAACAAAAAGTATGTTCTGAATGTCTGCTTACTTAGCTGATGATATCCTGGTGGACATGGTGGTCTAACATTTTACAGTAGCAGAATCTACATTTGTACCAATTCAAGTGCTAATAAAGGAAAATATGTCTAACAGTCTTCATGATATAATGTTGTATAGATTCTACTGGGATAGATGGAATGTACAAAAATGTACAACATTGTACCAAATATGTTGCTGTACGCACCATACCAAAAATCTAAAAAAGTTTCAAAAAAATATAATGTATTGTAATGTAATAAATACAAATGTACAAAGCTTATACATGTAATACATGACTTCTCATCTTAGAATGATAAATAATGTTACTTTTTTTAGGTTATAAAAATTATTTTTGTAAGTTGCATACACACAGAAAACCTTTTGTAAATGGTAGTAACTACTCGTCAAGCTGGAACCAGCTGATTCGTCCACTGCAGCTACCAACATTACACAGGAAGATGAAATCCAAACAACGAAAGAAGAGGAATGCTGGGTAAATGATACCAAGGACATTGGAGTCCTTACAGGTTAGTTACTTTTTCTTTTATCATGTTTATTGGAAAAAATATTAACTTATGATGCTGATCTGGAATTAGGATAACTTAATTGAACCTGTCAACTTTTCAAAATTCTACTGATTGAGGACCAGTTACCGTCACCTGCCATTTTATTCAATAACACACATGTTGCATAAAAACAATATACTACTGATATCTTTTACTTCATTTGTAAACATGGTAAAACCTCTATCTTGTTTGATCCAACAAACAACAACCACTGAACAGCAGGCTCCTGACTTAGGACAGGTGCATACAAATGCAGCGGGTTTAAACATTTTAACAGGCGCCATGTATGCTTAATCATGTTCTTATCAGAGGAGTCATATTTTTGTCTTGTCTGCATCGAAATTTAACATAAAATCAATTGTCATTAAAGCAGACCAGACATTTCAGCGTGTGCACTCTTGTTATATACAGTGAGGTAAATAAATACACTTAAAGGGAAAGTCCGCGATTTTTTACTTATCATATAAATATGTTCATCTTAACATAAAAAACACATTCACAAAGTTTTAAATTTATATTCTTTCTAATAACGGAGAAAATTAAGTATTTGTAACTTTTTTGGTTGATCTACGTCACTGGGTTGTGACGTTTAAACCGATTTGTTGAATCATGGGAAAAAATAAAATCTGTTAAAGTCTTAATTGCTTATCAGAATTTTACATAATTAAAAGCGCACAGATGACCGTTGGTCGTAGTTAATAACCACAATATAAGAATGAAAGAAAAGGAATATGTGTGTACCGTTTTGTATTGATTGAATAAAACTTCCTATATGAAGTTTTCTAAATATAAATATTTTCGAATTAATTTCATAAATTATTGTTGAGATTTTTTCATAAAATATCTGTTGAACACTTTGACTGATATTAAACTGAAAATATTTTACGTTTTATTTACCGTTATAACTTTGGTAACCATTTCAAGGCAAGATATTTGTGAACAGAGTGTGTACATTATTTTGTAAAGTCATTGTTTATTTATCGATTTGAGGAGAATTCGTTTGAACTTTACCTTGCAGCAATTAAGCCTCAGGCGAATCCAGGTGTGAATTCAAGCGTACGCAGGTGTGAATGTTGTCATTTTGAATGGATTAACAGAAAGAGTATAGCGTGTTTAATACACCAAGCTGAAATACCCGATGACAATAGAGAAACAATAATTAAAATGTATAAATTAATTGAAAATAAACATTCAATTTTTTTAATTCCGGAAGTGTATTTTGAAATGGAACAATTTTCGATTACGCTCTATGCAATTAGCATAAAATTAAAATATGAAGTTAAAAGAAAATTAATTTAACATTTCCCAATTTATAATTGTACATCTGTTTAATTTACTTTACCGGAATTCTTTAACTTGTATTTAAATCTGGCGATGTTTAAATGCTAACAATCAAAAAACTATCGCAATTAAAAAGTTTTTATTGAAAAAATACAATAGTACAACATGCATGATTTTTTATCTTCTTTTTGAAATTTCATTCCTACATAATGAATTCAACTAACAATCTCTTAGAATAATTATTTGTGAAAAGAATGCCAATTATCATTTATTTCATTCATTATAAATCTAAGCTATTAAAATAATTGTTTATTCCGTCTGGAAATTTTTATTTTCTTTTTTTTTCTTTAGATCTGTTTTTTGTATGAGGTGTTCTAATTGTCTTTAACGGTTTGAACATATGAAAATTAAATATAATCATTTTTATATTATATTATAATTTCGTGTAATACTCTACAAGGTAGACGTCATTAATCCAAAATAGTAATTGTAGTAATTATTGGCATAGCTAAGTAATGTATTGCTGACAATGACGATTTTAAAACAGTTCGTCTCCTTGAAACAAGCTGTACTAGTATACTTTTCCTGAGGTATAAGCGCCGTTGAAGACGAGCTCCAGATGTTCTTTCTAAAGGACAAAGTTGACTAATAGCGTATCGTTTGTTTGTTTGTTGGGTCAGGGGAGGCCATGGCAACCACTTGCCCAGAAAAACAGAATCACCATACAAGAATAGTTGTCAACACTATCGGAAAAGAGTTCCTATCGTCGGACCATCGTTGTTAACAGCAATATTTGATGAAGCAGATGATGATAGTAGAAAGCAATATGAGCGTATTATTTATCTTGTATCTTGTGTCTGACGAAAACTAAATGCCTGCATGGTTATATCTTGCCATTTTGTATTGGTTTGGTGGGTGTTCACTCAAAATCGTAATTCAAAAATTGTGTTTGTGAGATGTAGATTCACTTCAATAACGAATTTCGTCTATATATTTGTGACAAGTGTATACCACGGAGAAGCTCTAAATGTATATTACTCCCATTTGGTTTGGGTGTGAACCATCGATGTTTACAGCAATATTTAATGAATAAAATGATGATGGTAGAAAGAAATATGAGCGTCATGTGGCAAATATTACATAAATGTCTGACTATGAGTTATCTATCTGTACGAAAAGATTTCCAATACAACCATATTGAGTAGGATTTTTACATGCTATACTCGAGTCGTACTAGTATACAGGCTTCTCATGTCGTTTGACTCAGACACACATCTTTTACTTTAAAATGTATGAAAGATTCTATATATATATTAAATGTAACAATAATCAAACGCCTACAGGCAATAACTAAACGGGTATGAAGTTTTTATACAGATTTATTCTTATTTACATAATCATTAACAAACTAAATAAATTGAACAAAGAAACACAGTGACACTACGATATAACAAATGGGGTACTTAATTATTTTTAACCATGCTATGCAGAAACTTAACACATCAAGTTAGCGCACGTGAATACCAATTTGGAACACGATGTGTGATTTTGTATAAAAATATCAAAGCGAGCAGTAACTTTGTCTAGCAAATATTTTTTTACTATGCCTCTCTTTATCTCTTTTCCTTTACAATAACTATTACCCTTTTCGTCGATCATTCTCTATGTAGTATAATTTTCTCTAATCGGATATTTTTTTTCGCTATGCCACTCTTTCTCCGTTCCTTTACAGTGTCTGTTTCCCCTGTCGTTCTAATCCGTATAAAGATAGGGACATTAGACATAGAAGGAGCTTTCTTATCGTCAATAAATAAATATTTGATACTGACTATAAGTGCTGCATTACTTTTATAAGTGCTGCATTACTTTTATAAGTGCTGCATTACTTTATACTGCATGTTTGCCAATCGTCAAAAGCTTGCATTTGCGTGAAGAATTTTTTTTTCAAAAGAAGGGTCCAGAATCATGACAAAACAGTATATGTATTTCACAATTTTTTTTTAGATCATGTTTATAAAATTTTTAAACTTATTATCAGCAAAAATAGTGGATAATATTATTATCAGAACATCATTCATTAACAGGTGGAATTATAATTTCAAACACGCACAAGATAAATAACGTCGAACACAAATATATGTGGTTCAATAAATGTTACCTGTGCACGTCGGGTACCTCAATTAAGAAGCCATGCATGAACCTGTATAATATATTGTGAAATAGGAATTTTTAGTCGACAGGATGTCACTGAAATAACCAAGGACGTGTATCTAATATACGTCCTTGAGATAACTAACTGAATGTGTCGCTCTGACACGAAATCTATCAATAATTCTGACATACCTATTATCAACTCGGGAGGAAGCCAAATATATATATATATATAATAAGATAACGTAAATAAAATTTAAAAAGAAAAAAAATATACATTTTTTCCCAAACATACCAGATAGGGTCACACATTTAACTGTAAAGTGTCTATATAAGTGACTGTTCCGAATTGATCCCGTATCAATTTGATATAGTTAAAAGATTAGTTAAAAAACTTTTTTTGATAAAAAATTGACATGTCCAATATTTCGATATTTACATTTCTATAACCTGGGAATATTATACTATATCAACATATGTTGTCTTAGATAGAACCTCTTCCTAACATTGCCCCCCGTCAATATCCGTTAAATATCATAATTTAAAAATGTTATTTATCGTATAACTTTATTAATTAAAAAAATTATCTTGACTAAATATGGAGCTATTCTTTACATAAACCAATGCACTTTATATAAAAGAGGCATACTAATGAATCTTTTGTAAATCAGTGATTGTTACAAGAACACTGCATTTGTCTTTCTTTTAATTGAAACTTTTCTTCCTCATCAAATCTATATTTTATTGAATCAACGAGATCTTATCATATAAGGATTTGATAACTATAGCTATCAGAACTGCTAGGTTATTTTGTTATTGAAAAAAGTATAATTACCATCAAATCTCCCTCGAAACAAGATTGTTCAAAATGGTCTTCACACATCAACTTGTGCTTGCTATAGATCATAACTATTTTCTTTTTTTGTGGGTTTGGGAAAACTATTTAGACTTTTGTCATAACCTTGTCGGACAGAACAACCGTACGCTTGATAAGTCATTTTCACAATGGATGATCATCTACGGTAATCCCCGATTGATGATGGGAGTTTTTAACGCACGGTCGGTAAATCCCTGATTCATTTTGTCTTTGTGGTTTATAGATATCACGTGACTTTTTAGATGGCGATATGTCGAGAACTGATAGTGAATTTCAAAAATCGATTTTGATCTCTTTTCATAGAGAATAAAAGTTTTTGTTTATGAACATGTGGTTTTTTATGCTTAAAGAACAAAATATCAATTTTTCATTTTTTTGCGGAGTTTCCCTTTAATTCACGTCATTATACAGAGGTTCCGAAGGTTATTTGGACCTCAGTGGTCTTTTGGTCCAGAATTTGTACTGGACCAATCAGTGTTTTAGCAGTTTTTTACATTAATGTGAGTATTACAACATTGAATTCTTATATCGACACTGGTCATTTGGTCCAGTAATTGATGACATTTAACTGGACCAAACCATTTATTACTGGACGCATGTCTAGCGGACCTTTGGAATAACTATAGCTAGTCATAGCACATCTAACTAAGAA